AAATAAATAGGCACGGCAATGATAAGATTACAAGCTCAATGAAAAGGGCGTTGCAGGAATCACGTGGATGGCATTTTTTCATTATTCAAATAATTTTCTTTTGCAATCTAAAGGTCTGGGTACTACGTAATGAACTTCCCCATAATATTATGCCATATCTCAGATGGGAATGCACATTTGCAAAATACACGAAACGAGCTGCATGAAGGCTGACAGAATATGCATGAATTCTAAATGCATAACATGTTGATACTGACACTTGATGATCGAGTTGTAGTTGTAGCTGCACTGTGGTAGAGAGAACATCGCCTAAATTGGCTACGAGTACAAATAGAAAAGAGGTTTTAGGTGTAACTATTCTCAACAGGTCATCAAATAATTTATCATTTAGTTGCTGGAAGGTTTGAAAATCACTTGGTTCTCTAATCCTTAGTTTAGTTAATACATATTCATGAGTACATTCATTTATTTTCTTGGGCCATTTCTTAATCCACCTGCGCTTTTTCTCATTTTTTTAAATCATAAGTAACGCAATGGGCACCTGACTCGCTGTTTTCTTGAGAGCGTTGGATTCCGCGGCCGGGGCCAGTAGCACCTGTGCCTAGGATGCAGCCAGGACACCCAAGTGGCTATTGCTGTTTACTTATTATTTCACATGTTGACTGAAGAAGTGTCAGAGGTGAACTAATTTATTGAGAAAAATTATTGCATGGTGTAGACTGGCCCAACAATATTATTATACAAGATATTGCGCAATATATATTGACGTAAACATGGTTCATCTGAGGACTGCTTTAAATGTTTCTCAAAAAGAATTCTCAGCCACAAAAGGTTAAAACATTCTCGAAATCTTAACTCTACAGACAGCTATCTACCACTACACTTCTGTTCACGATTATGTTCGCTCTTTGAGTCCATTCCGTGCGTTTGTAAACAAAACATATCGTTCTTCCATTGGACGTCATTCCATTCTGCTGTGCATGTGGCTTTCTATAGTGATTGGCTGTATCATTAAAATTTGCTTTTTTTTGGGGGGGGGTGCATGTGAGGTAAGTAAAGATATAATATTGCTTGCTTTTCTACGCAATTTGGAATCTTAATCTACAAATAGAGAGAAAGGGTAGATCTAGGATTGCTTGTTAAAAATGGTGTATTTTAAGTATCTTTCAACGGGGTTTAATCAACAAAATAATAACAAGTACATGACAAATAACTATGTATCAGACAAAGAACAAAGAATAACAAAAATTAAAGAAAGTTGCATTATTGTTATGTAAGTCAACAAAAAACAACAATATACATAGAAGTATTTTGAACAATAAATTAAACAAAACATGCTAGTTCTTGAGAAACATTACTCAAAAAATGATTATTTTCCCCTACAGGGATCATTGCTTTGTAATCATATTTTGAGCTATTTTCAACATTCAAACACTTCGTGGGAATTATACTAATTCACAGAAGTTACACAAATTCCTTAGGCACAGGAGCAGCGGTCTTCTGATCATCACTGAAACTCACAATTGCAATTCTATTGCAATTTCGGTATAAATTAACGGATATACTATTTACATACAGTATCGCTAAATTAATGCCTGAACATACACACATTTATCAAAAAGGAAAATATGGAAGATGAGACTGTTTTATGAGAGTTTATTAACAACCATTATTTCAGAAAACTTCACTCCCAATTTCTTCAGAAATTATGTAATTTTCAACATGAAATGAACGTGTAACGTAGTATTTTAAAACCGTTTGTGATAGATATCCTGTACAGCAAATCAATTTCGAATTTAATCACAGCATGGTTTCGTGAGGATACAACTTAAGCGAATTCAAATCTAAGAAAAGTAAATACCTTGTATGTACTATATACTACATATATAGCCAAACTAGTGGAATAAGAACAGCACATACGTTCTTAAATTATTACAAATTTTTGCAACTTTCGAAAATTCAGAGAGTTCAACGAAAATGAAACTTGCGCTATTTTTATGAGTGTACTTCGCTCAATCCGAGAAAAAAGTTAAAGAAAAATTTGAGGCAATCTTTGAGAACATTTTTAAAATGTTGGGATATTATATTAAGTGCTACCTCGTCGCTAAAAAATTAGTGGAAAAAATCAGTAAGTGCAAAAAAAAAAATATATTGGTAGACTTAAATGGAAGAACAGGAAAAGCAGTATAAGATCCAGAAGTTGGAAGATTTGAGGAAAATAAAGTAAATAATAATGGTGAAAGAATGATAGAAATGTGTGAACAAAATTCTTTAAAAATAACAAATGGCTAGTACGTTCACAAAGATATACATAGGTATACGTGGACACAACAAACAAGAAAGTTAAAATCAGTGATTGACTGTATAATAGTAAGAGAGAAATCTCAGATAAAATATCATGACGTAAGACTGATGAAAGGACAAGATGAGGATCAGATCACCATCTATTGATCTCAAAGACATTGTTCCCTTTTATAAAATACATAAAATTTACAACAGGAGATACTAAAAATGAAAATAAAAATCGATACAAGATAATGGATGTAATGTATGATGTAAGGAAACTTCAAGATGGCTCTATAAAGTTTTTATACGAACTTGGACTAGCGAACAAAATCAGTAAAATACAAGAAAGTCCAGCAAATCAACTCTAAATAGATATAAAAAAGTTCCAGTAAGTGGCTAGTGGAGATATCGGGAAAATGCCTTAGAGCACAAAGGAAAACAGAACTGTGGTGGAATGGAAATATATAAAAAGTAGATGAAGAAAAGAAGACTCTATAGAAAAAGTGGATTGTACCGAATGCTCCACAGGACAGAAATAAATATTGTAAGAAAAGGAAATAAATTCAAAAGTTAGTTAAAAAAATAAGAAATGAAATGTGGCAAAGTAACTGTCATAAATTAATAGTTGTTTAGGAAACACAAAGACACAACGTGTCTTAGACTCCTGGATATGAATAGAGAACATATTAAACATGAAATAACAGAAGACAGACCAAAATGTATAGAGCAAACAGGAAACTCAATAAACCAGGAAAATGATTTTAAAATTTTGAAAAATCAGGAAAAAAGAAGCACAACAGGCACTTATTAAAATGAAAAATGGTAAAGCGCCAGGTATGGGGAACATAAATATAGAACTGATGAAAGAATGTACTCATTGAGGTACTTACTCAATTATTTAACAAATGTATAGAAGGTCAGTAAGTTTCTGAAGAATGGAAATTGGCAACCATAACCTTTATCTATAAAAAGGGAAATAGACTGTACTGTCAGAACTGAGTGACATGAGTGTTAATTGCTCAGAAGCCAGATTGTATGGTAGAGTACTAAAGAAGTGAATTGCAAGGCAAGTGCAAGTATCAGAAAACTAGTATGGATTCAGAGCTGGACGATCGAGCAATGATGGTATATTTACATTAAGGGACGTGATAAAGAAACAGAGCCGAGAAAGAATAGTTTATTTAATTTCATTGACTAAAAGAAGGCTTACGACACAATGCCATTAAGCAAGTTGTGGCTGGCCATAAATAAACAAGAAAGTAAGACCTACATTAATTCTGTCCAAAATATGTGTACTGGTTGTGAGAGTATGATGAAAATTGTAAAATGGGTATCCCAAACATTCCAGGTTACAAAGAGCTTAAGACAAGGGTGATGAATGGCTCCACTATTATTCAAGATTTATCTTGTAAAGGTCGTAATGCAATGGAAACATAATTGCAGCGGAATGGGTATACATATTGAAAACGAAATCTTGTATACCCAGGTATTTGCGAATGACCGAGTTGTTGTAGCTGCTGACGAAAAAGACTCCAGTTACATGATCAGACAACTTCAAGAAGAAAACAAAAAATGAGAAATGGCAATCAACACTAATAAAACAGAATATCTAATAACAGGTGAGAAAAATGTAGATGATTTAGATTTAGGAACAGTAAAAAAGAGCCTTTGCAAACATTTTAAAGAACTGGGAGTGATATTTTCAGAGACTGGTAAAAGCAAAGATGACATACTACATCAAATTATCCAAGGAAAGAAAGAAATATAGCATTTAAATTGTGTTATGGAACGAATAAATTACAAAGAAAACAAAATGAATAATGTACAAAAGTTGAGAGTATATGTACATACGGCTCTGGAACATGGGAGCTAAATAAAAGAGAAAAAGAAAGACCTTACCTAGCTCTCAAAATCGATTTTTGGAGATGGAGTTGGGGCATTTCCAGAAGGGAACATGTTCGAAACGATACCACCCGCAAAATAATGGAAGTTGAAAATAACATCATAGATACAATTGAAACGAAACAATTAATGTGGTATGACCACCTTCAAAGGATCTAATATTCCAGATGACCCAAACAAGTTTGGAAATGGAGCCTTCCAAAACGCAAAAAAAACGGGGAAGGCCACCAATATCTTGGTAAGATGGAGTAAACGAAGCTATGAAGGCTAGAGACCTGTAGGACAAGGATTGGGTCGACCGCAAGTTCTGGAAGATGGGATGCGAGAAGCGGCGCCAACCGTACAAAAACGCCATCAAAAATATCTGTTACAAATTCCAGGGCCTAAACATTAATCAGATCGATCGGGAAATAGAAATTTTGATAAAAACCGCAGCTAACGTTTAGTCGCTAGTTACATTGTAATAAACAAGACGAATAAATGGACAGAAGGATGGCGGACGGACGGTACGGAACGAACGGGCAGGACGAAAGTGTGTTAAAAGTAATGGGAGAAAAGCTTCTGTGTCATAAAGAACGGGAATCCACCACCGACAGTAGTTTGAGCCAAAGTCGACGTTGGTTGGGTGGAGGCGAGGATGCCGCGGCGGGGGTACGGGTGGGGGGTAACCGGTGGCGGGGGTACCGGCCTGCCGCGGGGCGGCGGCGGGGGGGCGCGGCGGCGCCTGCGGGGATGGCGGCACCGGTGGGGGTCGAAGAGGCAGCGGGGTTGGAGTTTGTAGTCGTAGCTTTGGTAGACGCAGGACCGCACAGCCCTGGGTATGCAGGGTCCGGTGTTCCGGTGTCTCCGCTGCTGGCTGGACAGGCGCTGCGAGGGCTGCCCACTTGATACAAGGGTTGGCCGACATAGTTGCCTCCGGGCGCGTAGTTGCAGACGTAGTACTTCTTGCCCCAGTCGCCGTCTTGGTAGAACGTGTAGCCGCAGCCGATGCGGTTCGTTGAGGCCCACACCGTCTGAGTGTAGTGGCCGATATCTTCTCTGTTCCTGAAATGTAACTCTCGTCAAGTGCTAGACCGCAAAGGTAAAATTCCAATCTTTGTGAACGAAATGGAGCTGTCTACATGTTCTTAATATGCGATGTTAATATCAAGTTCTAAAATAATAATGTGGGAACAATTTATTGATTGCTTAGTGTTTTCGGGAGCTGCTAATGTCATTAGTCCCGTAAGTGTTGTGCATCTTTTTTATCGCAGGAGGTGGTGTTGGTGGTGGTGGTGATCTTCCCCTGCTGGATGGCAAGATCCGGCGCCGACGTACTTGAGGGTTCTACCCTACCGACCGATCTGGCTTGGGGGTGTCCCAACCAGGTATCTTCCACCAACGGGACACCCCTCCAGCCGGGACAAAACCTAATTTCCCGACTGGCCTCCCGACATGTGTGGTAGCGTAAAGCATGTAAGAGTAAGTGTGTGTAAGTAACGAGTGTAGGTAGGGCAAGGAAGATGAAGGAAATATCGCACACGGTCCGAAGCCCGTTTGTTAGGGTACTGCTCCGGTATTCGCTTGAATCGGAGAAACCACGGAGAACTACCGATCAGAGCAGCCGGCCGTAAAGTGGAAAATATGTAAAGCGAATTTATACGCTCTATTCTAAAAAAAAATGTTAGTTCATATACACATCTGCAAGAATCCGAAAGAAATATGGCGCCATTGATTCGGAGGGCGGCTGGCTAAGGGGCACAATAATTCTTCTCGTGCATGACATTGTTCATAATTATTCATAATTGGAACAAACTAAGAAATCAAGATACATACCGATGAAGATGATATTTTTATACGAGTACAACACACAAACTCTTTGTTGTTAGGTGTTTTTTGTTTAATTCAAAGTAAGTACACGCTTTCCTATATTAAACCCAGATAAGGGTTGAAAGATTTCAATTCTCCGCCTCCGCGCCCTGCTCACTGATTCAGGCACTGTGACTATGTGTACGGGATTCGAGCTACGCACCCTGGCTTTCCTCCACCAGAAACCCGATGACTCCACGCTCCCCATCAGGTCCGGTGGCCTCTCTTTATTGTATACACAATATAGGTGGCATATTATATACACTATTCGCAGAGGCGATATTTCGGATCTTTTATGGGGGGGATATTGCCCTAGCTACGTAATTTTGTATCCAAAATACTTTTAATTTAGATGAGGTTAAAGCTTAAAACCTATGCATTAAGAACCTGGCTTTGCACCTTTTAACAATTTCTCTGCAATCGGCTAAAATTGCGCTGCGCTTCGTCAATATTAACGGCCCACACTTGCACCTCACTATTTGATTTCTTTATTTACTATTAGGCTGTAATGAACATATTTGTAGAGAACTCAAACTTATTTTGACGTTACTAAACTCTATACGGCATTTGGAGGCCCATGGTCGTTTTTTTCCCATCTTCATTCCGCTGCCTGAAACTGTGCCCATGACGTCACCCCCGCTGGCCACCCCGCGCACCGCCCAAGCTCACGCCACTGAAGGACGCACTCCCTTTAATGCATTAACCTGTGTCAGACGTTACAATTTCTTAATTACAAAGTTACGTAATCAAGTTCAATAGTGAACTAACTGTATATAGAAATCTCACAAATAAACAGTAAATATTTGGTATATGCCCGCAAACAAAAGCTTGTAGTGCTTCTCCTTCAACAGTGACACCCTTGTGTCTTCTCGTTTATGTTTTTGCACCAAATAATCCGTTAAAAGTATTTTAAATAAAAATTTGCGGAGCTAAGAGAATTTGAAAAGCGTCCATTTTTATGGTTCTAACGTAAAATTGCCCATATTGGACCTAATGTGGCACACTGTTTCAGTCATATATGACATGTTTGATGATTATAAAAGTGTTGCAAGGAACTAGTGGGCAACGCCTCCGCTAAAAATACGTTGTTAAAAATAACTTTAAATAATATTTATTTCTTATTTTCTAAAAAGTAGCGAAAAGCGAATAAATGGAGTGTTTATGGGGTTTGTGGCACTCCTAAACCCATTTTAAAACGGTTTTATTGGTATCAATGTTCTTGCATCGAAAACTTGTTCACTAAGCCAATGACTTATATTTTTTATACAGCCTTATGAATATGATTCTGTGGTATGACAACCCTTTAAATGAAGTTGAAATAACAATGTTATTCCAATATATACTACTTATGACAAATACACGCATTCAATCCTTAAGTAATACAAAAAAATATGAAAATGCGGAAGGATGAAATACAGAATTCAGGAAAAAAACTGTAACAGTTTTGTGAGTATCTGGAATATAATGTTCGTATATTCAAATAATAAGATTTCTCCCCTTCCCCGAGCGTGCGCTAGTAGGGGGAGCGCTTATGGCGGACAGTTATATTTGAAATATCCGTTAAACACTAGATAGAAAATAAATGAAATTATTGAAAAAAATCTTATCTAAATATGACATAATGTATTCATTGGATTTGTCTTTTTACGCTCGTCATGATATATTGAAAAATATGTATTTGATAAAACCAAGTTACCTCAAATATCTCGTAAAATACAATTGATAAAACAGAAATGAACACACGTATCAATTAGATGCTTTCCCTCATGCACTTCAGTGAAAACTTGCAATAAACTTCAACCGTTCAAAGTGCTTAAAGTTAGGTGAGGTGCCTGAAAGTTAAGTGACTTACCCTACACACAACACTCACACACACACACACACCACACACACACACACACACACGCAACACACACACGCGCACGCGCGCACACCGCACACACACACACACACACACACTAAATATATTATATATATATATATATATATTATATATTATATATATATATATATATAATATATATAACATTTTTTATGTTTATGTGAATAAGATGTTAAGTTTAATAGGAATAAGTTGTTAGTCACATAGATTTGAAAATTGGTATTTGCACACTTAAGAATGTAAATGTGAGAAGTCGAACGTAAGAACGTAAATGTTCTTCTGTATCATAACTCGCAATTTGGTTTTCTCCGCATTTACCACAAGTTCGAGTGCAATAAGTTCCAGGGCAATACTGTTCGTCGATTTTTGCAAATGTATTTTCAAAAATACGTTAATACGGATGGAAATTAAATGAATTCTGCACGAGGCGATTCACATTCCGCATTCATTGTAACCTACGTAGATCTATGCGGGTAGACTCACTAAGATGGCACGCGAAAACACGTTTTTGGAAATTTCTTAGTCTTTTGGCCGTTACCGAAAACATTATCAGTTCCATACCAGGAGACCCAGATGCGTCGCGACCTCATACGTTTCGATTGGTGCACGGTAAGTGCTCTAACCCTGAGTGACGAATCCGCACACTCACTCACGCTTTCACAGATACTCAATACTGCATAGGGATTAATTCATTCTCAAAGTAAAGAAAAAAGTAAATATTGTATCATATAAATTTGAATATTCGCGAAATGAAATGTCTAATTTTAAAAAAATGTCTCAACATTGTGGGGGGCAGTTGCACCCCCCCCCCCGAACCTTGCCTCTCATTATTGGGTTTCAGTGATATCCGTCTGCAGCCAGGCAGGTGTCCCACAGAAAGTCAATGGCAACCTGCGGGTGTGACTTGGAACTGTTTTGAACAGACAGGTAAATGAGACAATGGAGCGCTTAACTTTTGCTTGCGCAGCGCTGGCACTTACTGGTAGCTGCTGACCTGGCTCGCCGCCATTAGCGCCACCTCATCGTACCAAGCGTAAATTGGCTCCGACCAGTTGCCTCTGTCATTCATGGCAGATACTGGGTACTGGCTTCGCTGGTAGATGTTCTGTCCCACGTAGGTGTCCGCTGCAAACATGCCAAGTCCAGTGTCAACAAAGAGATGTTTTTTTTAACGTAAACGGAAGCCTGCAGTCTGATTTTTACACTTTAAAATTAGGAATTGTTGAATCTAGTGTTTTAGTGAACGTCTTGAATCTCCAAATGAAAGTTACGTTCTTTGGGATAATTGTCAAATAATACTGTCTAATAGTCCGAAATTCATTATTATTCGAAATAAAGATACTCAGTCGTTGTAATGTGTATTAAGAAATATTTTGTAAATAAAAATGTAATTTTTTAATCGATTCGAGTGAGCAAAACTGTAACAGTATAATGAGACCTGGTATGTTCTGTATTATATAAAACGTATTGTACTATTTACCCAGGAGCCTTGAATATTCATTTGCGAAAAATTAATTTAATTCGGAAAATCACTTATGTTTCTTTTGTGCAAATCTAATACCTGTATTTTTAAAACCTCGTGAATCTTGATTTTAACAATAAATGAAACAGAACATAACGAAAGTCATTTCAAAATAATACATTTCAGTAAGAGAGGAAGATGATGTGATGATGATAACTATTATTATTGTTATTTTTATCATCATCATCATCATCACGAACTTAAGGAGTAGTTGCAGTGAGGCTGCCATTATTACAAGTTTCGGCTCAGGCTTTCTTTGAACCGTACCCGGCTTAACTCTGGGGGATCTTTCAAGAACGCGCATCTTGAGTGTCTCATTTTTCCCACCAGACGTCGAGTGTCGGTATCAGTTCCGAATCTGAAAGGTTTGTTCGGGAAAACTGGGATATTGTTTGGAAGCGAAAATGCCGGTGGGAATTTGATTTTGCTAGGCATCTGCCGGGGTTCTTTTTCACAATAAGGATTTTACACTCTTCCAAACTTGTACCGCCTGCAGACGATTGAAACCGCAAACTTGGGCTTTTGAATGCAGAGTGTTAGCGTCCATAGAGAGAGAGGGGTAAGTCAGAATTGATGTAAAAAATGATCCACTTAATTTGTATGGGCTTCCTGATGCGTGAGAATAAAGTCGAAAATAAATAACTACCCGTTGATGGGATTGGTAAAATTTCCGATAGATTTAAAATTAGTGAACAGTGATATAAATGGCAACACATTGCTATTTTGTGTATTCAGTATAAATTGTAGTAGTTAAATATATAGCATCTTAACAAGAAATTTATTTTTTCTTCTCAAATAACAGCCATTATTGTGAAATACACTGTGAGGAAAGCTAAATGATTATATTTTTGCAAAGCAACTAATTTGTGGGTTATTTTTAATAGTGACTCGTCGTAGTGTTGATAGCGATACTTACGCACGTTTCGGCAGGAGTCGTGGCTGTAGTTGCACTGGTCTGCCCATCGCTGCGCAACGGACGCCACTTCCTCATCCCACGCCTGCGACAGAAAGGCATTCGCAACCGTCATGACGCTGTCCTGCGTCGACATACTCCCGTGTTATGCAAACTGTAACGGCTACATTGCTACCCCTGGAATGATCTCTAAAATGAAATTCACGAGGAAGGGATGGGACATTTCCTCTTCCAAGGGCCCTCCAGCCCATGTTGAGAACTGAAGTACTCGCAGTAAAGTTGGGGATGGCATGAGGTTAGGGGAACGTCCCTTCACCTGACCCTGAGGATGGGGAAGAAATCATATCTCGCAATGCGGGTCTCGTAAAGATACCGCTCCGACATTCGCCTGGAATTCACCGCAGAGAAACATGGAAACGACCGCTCAGAGCAACCGGTCTCTAGAATTCCCTTCCAAGCAGAGATTTAGTCCGACCCAGATACTCAGGTCTGCGAAATCAACGTTTAATTTTCACAAATGGTGCATAACAATTATCACCACAATCTTTTCTTTCTGTATTTATAACAGCAACATATTATTTCAGTATATCAAGTGATATAGTAAAATTCGGTTTGTGTAATTAATTGCGTTTTCATATGATTGCTAAGTAATTTTATTTCATTTCATAAAATGTACTTAGGATGAAGCACCTTGTTAATGAAGGTTAAAGGAATTGTAAATGTAAGAGTTCCATTTTCACTTACAATTGGTAAATTTACAAATACAGTTCTAGTGTGATGTAATATCTGGCTGTTTCATTGAACCGTATTTCTTTTACTCATTTCTATCACTCACTTCACATTTACGAAGGTTGGGGTGTAAATTACGGCAGGTACTTTTCATGAGAATACGAGCCCAGATGAAGAATGAGAAATATACTCATGAAAGGAAAAGGTATGAACTAACTGCATGAACATTTAACGGCACAGCAAAATTGTGTTTCTTTATTTATTAATGTATTTGAAATGGCAGTACTGGTTTCATGCCCCAAAGCATTTTAGCGTATATGAGTTCACAAGCATTTCATACCCGTTCTAGAGGTCAGATTAGGCAAATTTTCGATTACCGCACGAGACATATCGGTCGATACACTCACATATCGTCAGGTGCGTTGCTGATCTCTCGTTGCTACGCGTCCTCGCAGAAATTCTCCTGCCCATCTCGCGACTGTCCGGAACGGAAGGGAATTATCCCAAGAGCTTCCACCAATTCCTCTGAGGCGTTCTCGCGAATTTCACGTACGGAGAATGGCTATCGGTGTAGAGCGATGCTCATACATTCACCTCGCACGGCCACAGCCAGACAAGTAATTCTACATCACTGTCTGTGATAATAGACACACAGATCCATCTGTTGCTGTGAACGCGCATTAGTACAGCATTTCTTTCATGCGACGTATAAAATTGTATTGCTCGATGACATTTCTTTTAGAAAACAAATAGAGGCGATATCTTCTGCCCCAACACCTGCATTTCATATTTCCCTCTCTGGGTTTCTCTCAATAGCAGGAAATCATGGAATGTAGCGCAACAATTACGGTCAAAAAAATTACCTAACATCCAGTATTGTATCTATCAAGGAAAAGTTTTTTTATTCCTCATTCGGTGATATTGAATCACATACTTACGAGCATTACTTTCTAATTAGTATTACCAAGGGTTCAGTCGGCAGATAGAATATTAATTTAGGGAAACGTACGCAACGTCCAAGTGCCAGTTTTTTAAATTAAACAATGTGTACATTAGAAATAAGTGGCATAAAGAAAAAAGAAAAAGAAAAGGTAAAACGAGAAGGAGAAAGTAGGGAAAAAATGAAAAACAGGTATTAAAAATGGGAAAGTACAATTCAGAACATATCGAAAAGAAAAATAGAATAAAAAACAAACGAATCCCCATTTATTCATTCATTTTCAAAACATTGCGCCTTGTCTCTTCCTAGATTCGATGTTGCTCTCTTGATTTCTTCATAACCGTCAAATCTCATATGATCGTTGAGTTTTCCTCTTTTGCCATTTTGTCTGCACAGTAAAGGAATCGGAAGGTCAGTAAAGGCCAAGGAGAAAATGAGAAAGAAAAAACAATTATAGGATTCGTATTCGTTCGGCAAAATACGAGATCATGGCATTTTTTCGAGTTCTGTTTATTGTCCCAACATTATTTTTTGGGACACCAAAATATCTCGTTTTCGGCTTCGACCCCTTTTTTTCGTTACTGGACGCCACAACTAAAAAAAATGAACAGACAACTAAGAACTATCTTAGTTGTCTCTTCATTTTTTCTACTTCCGGAGGATTAATGTGTTTATTTCTTACTGATACGTTATAGCTTGTTATTTCCTTGTTATTGCAGTTCGATATACGCTGCATAACGTACGTGAATCGAGAGGACCGTGGTTACGAGGGAAATATGAAAACAGTTGAATGATGCTACGTTTCCTTGCGGAGGAAATTATGAAAGGGAATTATGGGAGAGAAATAAGAAAAGACAAACCGACTCATGTTATCATCTAGTTAATAAGTAAAAAAGTCAATCGGAATAAATAAAATTAGTAAAAATTAAAATTATGTATGTACCACGAACATTAAATGCTTCTAATGACGTCGGGAATTTTGTCGCCACTCGGTCATTAGAATCTTAAAAACGCCCTTGGTGCATAAATAACCATTACATCCTTACTACAGGATGTGCCGCAGAGAGCTCACCACGCGCTGCATGTTGGCCGCGGGCGGCTGCCGGCCGGGGCTGCCGCGCCACTCCTGCCCCAGCGCCACGCGGTTGCGCAGCTGGTTCGTCAGGTCCACGATCGCCTGCTGCTCCGCCGGCGACACGCCGCGCACCAGCCGGCCTTGGTAGCACCTCGACGACACGCCCTGCGCCCCATCATTTCGCTGTGTTGGGTACTGGTAGGTGTACGAAGTCGTAGGCTTCCGCGGCCAGAGTCATGTGGGTGATCTGGGCTGTCCGGCAGATGGAAGGATGCAGATGGAAGGATGCAGGATGGTCGAAACGTCGGCAACTCAGCCTTCGACGCGGCGTCACCCGGACAGCCCAGATCACCCACTGGTAGGTGTAGTTTGCTTGTATGTGTAGATCGCTTATACGTGTAGCTTGCATGCAGGTATAGCTTGCGTATATGTGTAGCTCGCTTGTAGTTGGAGCTTGCTTGTTGGGGTTGCCAGCTTGTAGGAGTTGCTTAAATGTAGGTGTTTCTTGCTTGTAGGTGTTGGTTGTTGGTTTAGCTTGTAGGCATCGCTTTTGTGTGTTGCTTGTAGGACTGCAGGGATCGCTTGTATGTATCGCATGTAGTTTCTCCTCTAGGTATTGCCTGTACGTGTTTCCTGTAAGCATCTCTTGAAGGTGTTTCTTGTACACATCGTTCGTAGATGTTTCTTGTATGTGTTGCAAATATATTGTAACGTTCCTCCGTGGTGAATTAAAACCAACACAATATTTAAACAAAGAAGGTTTATTCG